GCGTACTGAAAGCACAATACCAAATCCAGTGTTAAAACAGCTAAAAATGCTGCAGAATCTGTTGAAAGCTGCAGGAATTTTTTTATTGAAGAGCTGACAGCTCTATCTGGAGACACGATTTAACAGAACTTCCCAGGAGCAAGCTCTTTAACTGAGACTTTGTTTGCTGAGCTATCAGGTTGACTCAAGTCTACTACATACTTTGCTGAGGAGTCTGTCAGGCAGATAAGAAAACTAGTACGGTATGATTTTGTGGTACAGATAAAGTCTGCAAGCATTTCTCTGGTGTGTGGATGCACTTGGTCAAGAGTCTGTGCTGAATAAAAGGGTTAAAATTTTGGTTTATGGTACAAAAATTGTATATTTTGACTCATTCTGACATGATCCATTTGGCATGTACATGTGACTTTATGACAAAGACAGAATTACATCTGTATGCAATTATCTCTATTTGACAAATAACACAGATAAGAGATGTTACAATTGCTGCATAGTTGTAACATACACAGGCCAGATAAGAAACCTGGGAAGGTTCTGGTTAAAGGCACACTTCAAAGAAATTAAAAGTTTTAGGTACATGAAGGCAATTAATTAAACATGATTTTGTCCTTTAGTGATGCTGTATATTTCCTGTGTAATTATGATGAGGCATTTTCATAATCTCATTTGAGGTTATACCAATGCTCAAAGGGTTTAAGTGTTTTCGGTTTTTTTTCTCCTCTCACGGTGTCCCAACCTGGCAGAGCCTCATGGATCTGTGTGTACAAGGCTCACCAGGATGGAAGAAGTATTTGTGCTTTGCAGATTCCAAAGGGAAGTTGTCCGTGAGCTGCAGCAGGTGTGCAAGGAATGTGTAACTGTTGAGTGGGTATAAGTTTCTGTCTTGATGTGTGAGTGGTTTGAGTAGTTAACACTGCTTAGAAACTTCTTTTTTGATAAAGCTTTTATTTGTGCTCTTGGCCAGAAGTTATTTTCCATGCAAAAGAAGTCAAGACTGAGTCAGCAATTGTGCTGGGCAGCAAATGTGTCAGAAACTAAACTGTACACTAACTGTCTGGATATTATAGATTTAGTTTACAGAAATTTTAAAATAAATGTTTGTATAATCTGATGAAGGCCAGCTGCAAAGGGAGTATTATTATTTACCTTGATATGATTATAAGGTGTTTTTAGTAAGAAGTACTTGTGTTCAGGCCTAGTTTTCTTACTACTCATCATTAAGACACAATTTATTGAAAGTGTTAGGAAATGAATGGTTCAAACACAATTTCATTAAGTAGAAGTCATATTTTAGTGCAAAAAAAGAAGAGAGCAATTGGTATTATTTATTTATGAAAGCAAATGTGACCTCCATTCCACCTATTTATATCATACACTGGTATTTCAACTGTGTACTCTTAAAGTAGATCTGCTGTAAAAAGATGACCTCTGCCTTATTTATGAGAAGAACAGAGATAACAGTGGTCCAAATGCTGAGAATTTGATTTCCTGGTATTTTTATCAACCTTGCTAATGCATTTTGGCTGAAAATACTGAAGCTGACAATATGTGATTTTTGGATACGGTGTTAATGTCAGATATTCTGTAATTCAGCATTTGTAACTGTTGTTTTCACTTCTCGGAGTCTTTCACTCCACATGTGCTGCCTCAGACATTCCTGTACAAGTGCGTAATTCATCCATTTAATTTTCATGAACATTTGTTTCTTCTCATTAAATGGTAGTTTCCTGTATCAGAAATTTAATGTCCTCTCACTGTAGGGTGATCAAAATTAGAAAATAATCTATTTTTATATGCTAAGCAGATTTGGGATTTTAGAATTCTGGTAAAACACCTAACTTGATTTGTTTCATATTGCTTTTAAATTTTGACTTCAGGTTGTTTGCAAATTAGTACTTTGACATTTTCATCACATAATGACATACTAACCCTACCCCTTCAGCTGTGATGAAAAACGCTATTAAGATTGCAATGACAAGCTTTCACAGGCTAGGGAAAAAAACTGGCATCTTGTCTAAATTGTGCCTTCTTAACTTGGCCTTTACCTTAGTTGAAGGCATTACAATATTGCCTTTAATTATATGAAGAGTCTCTTTTCTCTTGCCTGATTTAATATCCAAAGTACATCTCACTGGATGTACTTTTAATTGTGTAACGAAGAAATGCTGGGCTTTGTTGTGGAAGTTGGAAAGTATTTAAAAAGCTGGATTAAATATGATAGGAAGAAAAAGGATGTCTATATTACAGCAGTTGAAGTTTGCCTTGAAGAAAAGCTTTCCTCTTTTCTCTGCTGCAGTATTTCTGGACAAGTTATCAAAATCAAACTTTTCACGGATGGTCACTGATTTCCTTGTGGCAAATGTGCTGAACACAGAGTCAAACACCAGCACACTGGGAGCTGGGCCTTGAGCATGAAAACATGATTTCACAGGCATGAGGTCCACAGCAAGCATGTACATTTGGCCTCAGTCTTTTAGTCTGTGTTTCAAGACGCTCCTCATCACTCAGGGTATTTAAAGTAGGCTGTATTATGACTTTGAAGGATAATAATAAAATAGTGAATAGATGTTGTGTCTGAATATGAGGGGGGAAAAAAGTTGTTCATTATGAGTAGAATCCTCCTAAACAGGGGTGTGCAGATGGTCTACAAACAAGCAAAAAGTTCAAACACATTGAAAAAAAAAGGAAGGAAGCATACTAACAGCTACATAATCATACTGAGAATATCTAAAATGGGAGTTCCCAGACTATGGTATGTTGGATACTAGTGGTATGGAAACTATTTAAAAGTGATGTTCAAATAAAATATGAACATCTAAGCAGAAAAAAAAGATTCCTCCTGCATGTGAGTTCCTCTGATCACGTTTCTGTAGGAAACTGGGGCATAGATTTGTTTTACATACCACATTTCTACCACTGTCACTAGTGCAGTAAAATGAAATTCTCTTTCAAAAACAATCTAATATGGTTAGTCTAGGCTTAAATGATGTCCTGTTAGGCACCAGATCACATCAGCTCAAGCAAATCTCTATGTTATACACTCATTCCCCCATTTCCCTCCTCCAGCTCTGCTTTGTCATAGAAGATAATGTCAACTGGCATTGTGTCCTTCTAAGAATATTGTAAGGCGCACGTCACAGACTTTTACCAAGTGAGCTAATGGAGAGAAAACAGGAGTAACTGATTGTCTCGTGTAATTTTGAAGTAATTTGCTGACAGCTAAGGAATTGAGTATTACATTCCATCCCAGGCATTTTAGTACATGAACTTGTAGGCAAAGAGTTTTTGCCTGCTATTCCTTAAACACATCCCAGATTTTCTTACTCTTAGTTTTTAATTTCATCTGATATTAATTGCCTGGCATTCACAGTTTGTGTTCTTCAAACATCTCAGAGCTCCCGCCTCCTCGATCAGCAAGTCTGGTCTCCTTTTTCTACCCCAGTTACCACCTTCCTTTACTCCATCCTGTCTTCCTATGTGGCCAAGGGCCCAAGTCATTATCCAGGTCTCATGTTTTGTTCAGATACTGAACATGCTGAACATACTGAACAGCTGCTCATGACTTTATCGCAGCAGACTCTTTAGAGCTTTATCACTCAAATCCACCTTTTCAGTGAGCAAATGGAATCACTGAATCATAGAATGATATTGAAAGGGACCTTTAAAGGTCATCCTGTCCAACACCCCTGCAATGAACAGGAACATGCATGGCTAGATCAGGTTGCCCAGGACCTGATCCAGCCTTGCCTTGAAAGTCTCCAAGGAAAGGGCATCCTCCACTTCTCTGGGCAGTCTGTTCCAGTGCCTCATCTACCCCTCTGTAAAAGATTTTTTCCTTATATCCAACCTAAATCTGCCTTCCCTGAGCTTGAATCCACTTCCCCTTTTTCTATCACCGCAGTCCCTGGTAAAGAGTCTGTCTTCTTCTTTCCTGAAGCTCCCCTTTTACATATTGAAAGGCCTCTATCAGGTCACCTCAGAGCTTTCTCTTCTCCAGGCTCAACAGCTGCAGCTCTCTCAGCCTGTCCTCATAGGAGAGGTATTCCATCACTTGGATCATTTTGCGGCCCTCCTCTGGACATGCTCCAATAGGACTATGTTTCTCCTGTACTGAGGACTCCCATCTGCACTCCAGGTGAGGCCCAACCAGAATGGAGTGGAGGGGCAGGATCACTTTCCTCAACATGCTGGCCATAATATTTCAAAGCAAGTTTTTCTGAAAGTTTGATAAGTATGGTAAAATGTTTAGCAATTGAAAATAAAATATACATCCATAAAGTCATAAGTACTCTTAATCAAATAGTGAACATGCACAGAGTATAGGATAAATCCTTTCAACAGTTATTTCAAGCAGCCTTAAGTGTAAAACTAATTTTCTGTACTTTAAATATCAAGCTTAATAAAATAATTCTATTACAATAAGGTTACTAGATAGATATTTACATTTAATAAACATATTTGAATACTTAGTATCATCATATACTCTATAAATATGTAAGCACTTATGTCAATACGTATGATAATGTAAACTGAAAGCATAGGTACAAGCTTAAGCAATTTTGCATAGGTGACATTAACTAAAGAGTGAAAATTTCTTAAATTGAATATACCCAAATAATGGGCAAACCAGAAATTAGTCATGCTGTCATTAACTAATCAATTAAAATGTTGCTTTACATTTAAGAACCAGGCTTGAACTTAAAAACATATTAAAAATAATGCATTTCTATTTCACTTGATATATTTATTCATCTGGGAATTTATTCAAACAGGAGCAAGTATACATTTAATTGATAAAGATATATAAATGTACAGTGATCTTTGGATCAATACGCCAGAATTAATAGTAGAAAGTAAGTTCTAGCCAATGTATACAACTAAATGAATAGAAGTATAACTCATTTAGTATTTCCAATAGTGTAGTAAACAACAAGTAGCATTTTAATGATTTCCACAGCTGACAAAGGAAAAATGTATTAATTCTTATCATTTTACTCCTAAAGTAATGCCTCCTATTTTATTATGCTGGCACACGATGTCAGAGGTGAATGTTGATGGTATGGCAGCAGAGTCTGAACCTTCCCAACAATATTCCTTTACATGTTGTTGTGTGATAGATGGCAGAAAAAGGGCAGTCTGGCAGAAAGGCATCTGATGTGGAAATGCATATGGAGCAAAGATGTGTCATTGAATTCTTCCATGCAGAAAAAATTGCATCCCTTGACAAGCATTGATGCTTTCTCAATATTTATGGACACCAAACAATGAGTGTGAGCACAGTGAGGCTGTGGTTGATGCTTTTCATCAGTGACAACAATGTGAAAGACAAACCATAATCCGGACAGCCATGCATATTTTTATGAGTGCAGCATGCAGACTCTGTTCATCGATGGCAAAAGTGCATAGACAGTGGTGATGACTATGTTGAAAAACAGTGTTTTGTAGCTGAGATTTTGCTCTATCCAATAGTGTTGTCGTGCTCTTTCTACATGTTGTGATTTCCATAGAAAAAAAATAGGAGGCATTACCTTCAGAGCAATCTACATAATATAAATATAATTGTATAAATGGGTGTACATGTTTGAGCATATAGTTATGCATTCACAAATATACATATTAATTTAAAAATTGTGCTGTAGTATATTACAATGGCAATGATTAATATGGAATAATTTTAAAATAATTTTATTGGGCAGTCAGTGCTAATAGAGAATCACAGAATCACAGAATGGTTAAGGCTGGAAGGGACCTCTGGAGGCCATCTGATCCAACCCTCCTGCTCAAGCAGGGTCACCTAGAGCAGAATGCCCAGTGAAATCCATTCATATTTCATAATAATCAATGCACTGCTATTGTTCAGTAGACTTATTTTTTAAAAAATTCATTGTAGTCAGTTAAAAACTAATACTCTTAGTAACAATCATTGGCAATCACTGGCTTACATGAGGAAGAGAGTTCTTTTGCTGTCTTTAAACACAGCATAAACATTAAAAACTGTAAAATATATACTAATATATTGTATGTTGATAGGGCCCCAAGCAGAGATGCCTGTGAAGCCACTGCACTTCAAGTACTATCTAGTACTTACAGATATATCTGAATGCTTAACTTCATTGCTGCTTCTGAGGAGAGAAAAACAAGGAATTAGGCAATGTCTGCTGAATATTTAGGAAAATATTCTGATGCATAGCTGAAGTAGCAGGAAATCTGTAAAACCAGTCCATAGAAATTCTCTGTGGTTTATTAGGCTGTAGCAGAGGTAAAAACTTCCCTGTGATTAAATCGCTGTTTGCATTCCACTTTTGATATTCATGCATAAACTGCAGTCTGTCAGCATGGAGCATTTTCCACAGAGGATCTTGAAAATAATGTGTTTGGTAAAATACACCTGGTGCTGGGTAGGAGAGATAGTGTCCCCATGGCATGAAATAATTCATAGCAAGGGAACTGTCTAACTCCTTCTGACGTCCTCGCTTTCGTGCCCGTCGGTGTTGCCTGAAGTCCCCCTGAACAAAGTCATTTAAGTTTGATGGGTGGATACTCCAGTAGTTCCCCTTGCCATCCTCACATCTTCCCACCTTGATGAAACAGTCATTTAGTGACAGGTTGTGCCGCACACTGTTCCTCCAGCCTCGACCTTTGTTCCGGTAGAAAGGAAAATTGTCTTCAATATATTTGTAGATAGCAGCTAAATTCAGTTTATTTGCAGGGGAAGAAAGAATTGCCTTTGCAATTAAGGCTATGTAAGATAGGGGTGGTTTTTCCAGAAATTTTCCTTCATCCACAGGTACAGAAAAACCACTTTTGGTGCTTGCATGTGAGCTGGGAATCTGGGCTGGAATCCCGTGAAGCAGATTTCCATCTTCTCCTGATATAGTAAGGATGGCTGGACTTCCTTCATTGTTTTCAGAATAGTCTTCAGTCATTATAGCAGCATGAAGTCTAGCATTTATTTTAAGTGTCCTGATATTTTACTGTAAGTATTCAGTTGAATAATTGGTTCATTGAATGTAAGCAGCAGGAGAAAAGGAACCAGGACTTTAAATATGCTGCTATCATGCACATAGATTCCTATTTTATACTCTGTTAAGTCAACATTCTTAACAATGAAAACTGAACTGCCAATGTTTACAAAAGTCAAGGAGAGAATCGTAGTTGAATGAAAAAAATATAAAATAATTATACTACGTTAAGTATGAAGATAAACAGACCGTGACGTTAGCCTTTTACTTCATTATAATCTGAGAAAACACCCTTCAGTGTTCCCCATTGAAATGTAATGATTAATGAAAAAACGACTGCGGCTTGATAGCGTTGTGAAAGGATTAGACCCTTCACTGATAGGCAGAACAAATTGAAATCAACATGTTGGTTCCTGTGTTCTACACCTAGTCAAGCATGTTGTATTTAGTACAACAAACATTTGTTTTACGCTCTAAAAGAAAGTGCTGTATGACACTTGCTATCAAATTTGGTAGCTGCAGGATACCTACTCTTGATGAAACTGAATTAAATTAAATTAAAGCACAAAAAAACCATGTAACTCTCCAGTCCCAGTTGTGCAACTTGTTTTCAAGCTGAGTATGCATGTGATCCGTCTTTCTGACCCAAGAAACCACTTGAGGGAGCAAGTAGCACTCAAAGTGAGTGAGTGCTGTGCACTGGGACCCCAATGCATGAACTACCACTTGAACTTTGACACAGCCCTCAGAGTCCTGAGTCCTGACGCTAGTAAGACAATCATCTCATGTAATTAGTCAAGAAAACTGATTAAGTATGCTTAAATATCTTCTAAAGTAAAACAAAACAAAGTGGAAGAAGCTTTGAAAGAAAACCTTGCTTCTCAGAATTATTATTCTCTTTGGTTATTGGATTGTCTTCTTTTGGGTCACTTCTGATGTTCCAAATGCATATTCCCAAATGAGATCATCATTTTGAGGCATTAATAACAGCTTCAAGGCATTCAGTCTTACAAGGCTGAAGCTGATATTGTTCATGCTTTGCTGGCTTCCGAAAATAACTCTTGGTGGTTTCCTTCAAGTGTGAATTCGAGCAAAGAACAGAGACAGAGGGCCTAGACTACCCATTCAACTGATCTCTTTCTCTTTGAGCTTGGAATTTACATCTTAGTTGATCACCTTGATTGGACACTTGCAACCATTTCTCAGACTCTAAAATCCACTAGCTTCTGGTTCAGTTGTTAGCCATTATCTTTTTAGATCAGGAAACAAGACTCATAATGTAATGCCATCGTCCATACTGTTCCTAGTTATGACTTCTTTTGAAGACATTCATTTGACCTGTCCTATCCCTACTAGAAAATTCCTTCCTGGCACATCCACAAGTTGCAACCATCTTTCCAACATACTGGTGGCTTTTCACAGCCTTCTGTTGACTTATTTATCAGTTTTGTTCTCCTTCTCTCTTACTTTTAGCAAAAGAATTGTGATATGATGGCAGAAGCTGTTGAGGTTATCTCTGAAGAGTGTGACCTGGCACTTTAGATTGTCTATTACAGATCACCATGTTTCTGTTACTGCATCCAAAAGTCAGCCAGGTATGAATGGGTTTCTACAATAATAACATCAAAAGTTTGATTTCACCGAATTCAGTGCAGGTTACATGGTTATTTCTGGTGAGATATGTGTTTTTATGGAACAACTGCAGACTAGAGAACAAATGCCTCACTTTGACAGGGACTATATATTCCTTCTTTTGTTTGCAACAAAGAAGCACAGAAACAAGCACATGTTCTGCTACTTTAGCACCCACTTTTTAACTGTAGAGAATTTTAGACCGGACTTTGAGTATCTACAAGTACCTAAATTAAATAAAGAATAAGGAAAAGCCATCTTATTGAGGTTTTCAATCTTAAGGGCAGGCTTTCAGAAACTGAAGAAACTGAGGTTATCAAAGGGAGCCAAACTGAAGAGATCAGGAATTTAAGCACAGTAAAGACTCAAAAATCAAAAGCACAGAAGTTGAACTCAAATCCTAAGCAAGAAGAAGAAATGTGTAGAAAAGGGCTCCATACCTGAGCAGATGAATAATCCTGTCAGCAAATGATACAAGGAAAGAAAGATGTTAAGGAGAATGAAAGGTAAAAAGATGAACAAAAGAGAAATATTCTGAGGAGCTAAAACCCCTGATCTCCAGTGTAAAGATTTTCAGGCATGCCCACAAAGAAAATATACACCCCATATTTCTGAGCATCTTGTTTGTTTCTCCTTGCTCCATGTTATTTCTGGAATTGATTTTGTTTTCCTTTGAGTCCAATATTTAGAAGTGAAAGAGTGAAAAACTCCCCAAGTTTCTTGTACAAAATGTAAGGCAAATTCCCTGTTTTATGCTTATTCTTTGTGGGAGTTTTCTTGTCACTGACTGAAAAGTCTGCAAACCTTTGACATGAAAGTGGTAACTACTCTCACTTAGTCAACGTCCAATTTTATCTGAAAAGAAGAAATAGGTGCAGGGAAAGTATACTGTCTATTCTTCCTATAGAGATTTTCTCTATCCTTGGGAAGCAGATTCTTCTTCAAAAAAAGCTTATATAACTTATTAAAGGAGCATTTTTTAACTATATTTTTATATCATTGGTAAAATATTGGTTTCTCGGAATCCTGGCATTTCCCACAAGAAAGCATAACAAAATAAAAGGATAGATTTATCAACTGGATGTGTGAAACTCTTTTCATTTTGATTTATAATAAATTAAATGTACTTGAAGAGATGAACCTGGAAACTGGAGTATCTGGGAATTCTGGTACAGTAGTCTATTCTGAATTTTCACTGTGTTGAGAATGTCTTGATTATTTTTTCCTCTGCCACTGTTTTCCTCTCTATCATCAGTTAAGATTTAAAGAGAGTTAAAGTGTTTTGTCAGTTGCTTAGCTGACAAAATCCCCTTAGGATAATACTAATGTTCATATTTTAAAAATCTATTTACAAAGACTGCAATTTTTCTACTTCTCTCTGCAAAAAAAAAAAAAAAAAAGAAAGCACAAATGCTGAAGAGTGAGCTGGCTTCCACTTTGGATCACATATTAACAAAGTAAATTACCAGTTGTACATAGGACAAAGTATTTTAAAAAGTACTTGAGTCATACAATCTGTAACAAAGATCAGAAAACAACCGAGGCAGCTTTTCTCCTTACTCAGCCTTAATTATTGATATTTAGCTTCACTCGTGAAATTTCGACAAAATAACTTGCTTAAGTTAAATGCTGTTCTTACTCCCATAGCACTATACATTTTGAGAACGAATTGCTGTTTCAAAATCTGTCTCAGTATTTGCCAGCAGTGTTTTTGTTTGTTTGTTTGTTTGTTGTGGGTTTTTCTTTTTCTTTTTCTTTTTTTCCTAAAGGATTTAACCTTATTTCTTCTGCCTCTTGTTCAGCATTTTTGACCATTCAGCACTCAAATGGAATAGAGTTTTCTGCAAGGGAAAACTATTTTTATGCTTTATCCTAATAGATTTATTAAATAGCAGTAAAGTAAGTAATACATCTCATACTCTCAGCTGAAGAAATGCAGTTTTCTGGGGCATTAGGGAATGCCCCAGCCAAGTGGAACCAGATTTTATACTACTCTTTAGTCTGTGCTTAAGATGTAGTTGTTTTTCAATTGACACAGAAAGGTATATTACATTCCAGATAGGGCTAAGAAAGATCATCTGGCCAGTGGTAACAATAAATATGCCAAAAACATAAGCAGGTGCAAGCTATTTTTAATTAAAGTTCTATTTGGCTATTGCTTTTGGTGTTCTGCTGTGTGTTTGATTATGTCGAAGCCTGCTGTCTCCATAACATTCTCCTCTGTAATGTTTACTATGCTGTTCACTAAAGAAGCAAACCACAGATGCCATCTTATTTTCTTCACATTCTTACTGTATTCTACCTCCTATTTCTATTGCTAATTAAGCAGTATTCAAGAACATCTGTAAAACACGTGCTTTGATTCAACATTTGAATTTAGTATGTGCAAAAAAGGTAAGGAAGATGAGGATTCAGAAAGTAACTGATTACGGAAATTACCCCTTGAAGAAATTCTTAAATTACCTATTGCTGATACAATCCAAAAGGAAATTCTTATTCTGTCATCTGACTTAGGTATTTTGGACACCGCATAGCAAGGTGCAGAGAAAAAGCAAGATATTTTCATTATTTTTTGTACTGCATTTTTCATAGCAATAATTTTACAGTGTTAATGCAATTCTTACATGCACAATAATGCTTGCTTTGGTGTACCTTTCTGTATCCGTCTGGTTAAATACTTACTGAGACCCTTGTGAAAAGTCTAACATGGAATAAACTTTCCAGGCAAACTCTAGGTCAGGTGGAGGAACAGTTTTAGTCTCTACCCCACTGCACTGAAGATTAGGCTTGTTGATTGAAAATCACGTTCCAACGAAATGTGATTTTCCTCTGTTCTCAGCTGTTTCTTGACCTCCATCTTTGTAACCAATGACATTTCTTTCTTGTACAAATATTCTTCTTTTGTTTTTTATTTCTTACTCAATGTTTTTTTTCCGTTTTTATTTTATTTTTTTTTTTTAACTGGCCAGCGTACATGCTGTTTCTCTCACTAAATAATGGAACAAGAGTGAAAATTTGGTACTCAGTGATACCCCTTAGGCTAAACTGATAAATAACCCTTTGTTTCCCAGTTCCCATGTTCCTTTTCTTTCAGGTTCCTTTACTTTCATGGCATGACAGTTACATATGCACAGGCTTGTCTGAGCTGATTAAAGTCACTGTTATTTCTTGTTTGTGGAAGTGTCCATGAAACAGAAATAAAAGTAACCATTAGGGTAATAATATCATAAATAAGTTCTCCTTGATTGTGTAATTGCTACTGTAGTATTTTCTTAGAGAAATAGAACTGCCATTAGAGCAAGAAGCCTCATTTCCCAAAGAGCACTTAATTTGCAAGATACTAAACCAAAATGTGCATAGAGCAGGTCCGCTGTGGCTGTGTGTCATTCCCTTCCTAGGCCCTCAAGAATACATGGCTGGATAACATTACTGTCTTTAAACAAGAAATTTGCACTGTTAGCCCTTGCTGAAAAATTCAGCATTGTAAAGTACAGTTTTAAAACCATTTAAATCCCAAAGGCTGTGCTAGGAGTTCTGTAGCTTATGTTAGAAAGTGATTTTATGAATTTCTCCTTATGTGGTATTTTTTCAAATTACGGTAATGGTAGTGAAGTATGGATGTTTTATAAACATTTTCCTATTTGAAAGGCTGACCAAACTGGGTCTGTTCAGCCTTGAGAAAATAAAACTCAGAGGGGATCTGATTAATGTTTATAAGTATCTTAAGTGTGGAAGTCAAAGGAATGTGGGAAACCTCTTTTCAGTGGTGTGTGAGAACAGAACAAGGAGAAAGAGCCATAAACTGGACTGGAAGTTCCACACCAATATGTGAAGGAACTTCTTCACAGTGAGGGTGACATAGCACTGGAACAGGCTGCCCAGGGGGGTTGTGGATTCTCCTTCTCTGGATATATTCAAGACTTACCATGGGACAGCTGTTAAGAGGTTAAGGTGGAGGAGCATGAAAGACTTGGAGATGTTCACATGGTGGAGGAGGCAAATTACTTGTAACAACAGGAGAAAGGATTCAAGAGAGATCAGAAGACCCAAGTCATTTGAAAGTGTGAAGAGATCTGTGATGATGCCACTAATGCCATCAGCCTCCGACATGGCTAAATCAAAGCAAGCCCTGTCATATTTATTAGCTTGTACTGCACAATTAGATTACAGCATTGATTTAACCTTTGAGAGAGACACAAGAAAAACAGGTTAAGTAATATGAATCAAAAATATGACATTTTTGTTTCATGATCTTTGTCCCATGAACATTGCATTTTTCCACGCATGGAATACCATGAAATTGTGAAACAAATTCTAACTGATTAAGTTGATTGAGAAATCATTTCATTTAATGTTATGGGAAGATAACCTGCACAAAGGCTGAGAAAAATTAAACGGCAAAATGTGTTTCTTCCTCCTGTTTATAGCCGTGTGACACACGGTTTGAGTTTCAGGGTTGGCTGCACAAGTTAATTCTATGACTTGATTTTGTCTTCATTTGGTTGGATGGTGCTCAATGCAGTAATAATTTCATAATATAATTAGTGGCAAATTCAGTCCTATTTACAGTAGTGTATTACAAATTCATCTCTAGGATGCTTACTTCAATGTTTCACAGCATTCATAGTCCGTTTAAGTTGTGATGGCTGATCCTTAGCTAGAAAAAGCTGGCATAGTTCTAGGATCTGGCTCACTGGGTTATCGTGGTATAATGCCAGGGGAGAATGTGGCATTACACTTTTGTATCTTAAAGAATCACAAAAATTGTCCTTGAAAATACATATGGAAATAATTTAAAATATAGCAATGACTTACCCGATACATTCTCATCAAAGATTAATAGCTCTTCATTTGTGGAATATGATGAATTTGTTGTGCAACATAAGTTGTTCATCTAAAGATAGCTCCACTTGTTTAGCTAGATTTTAAAGATTATTTTTCTTCATAGCACACAGAGCCACACAAAATAGGGAATGCAGCATTAGAAATGTTTAATTGGAATTATAACATCAAATACTATCAGATTAAAAACAAGCCAACATAGCTGACACACCACAGCATCTATTAATAGGTCTGAGTCCCTTTTGCAATGTCAACTGTAACATTAATCCTTGTTTTAGATCACGGCGTCTCAAATATCAGCTGCTACTAGTTGTACAGTTCTCTTTCAGTTTATATCAGAGAGCCCAATGGAGTCTTTCGAAGGACCTAGTCAGGTTAGCAAGGCTAACTTATTAGAAGTCCCTACTGTAAACGATTACTTTTCTGAAGATGAAGATGTTAAACCTGACATTAAACACCGTTTCTCTCCACTTCCCCGAAGGCGGAATTCTGCTTCTTCAGAGGAAGAGGAGGCAGATGCTCCTACCACCATTGCAAGAAAGGTTTCATTTGCTGATGCATTTGGGTTTGATCTTGTGTCTGTTAAAGAGTTTGATAGCTGGGAAATTCCAAACATAGCACAAAATAATGACTTAGAAGACGACGCTTTCACTCAAGAGGAATTTTTTTTAACTCAGCTATTTACATTACCTACTTCCCAAGAAGAAGTTTTGCAAAAAGTGCGAGAACATAAAGTACTGTTGGAGTCAATTGTGTTCCTGCCTGGGATTACCTGTATGAACGGCATTATACGAGTCCTCAATGTGTCTTTTGAAAAATTGGTGTATGTTCGAATGACACTGGATGACTGGGCCAGTTACTACGATATCCTAGCAGAGTTCATGCCTAATTCTTGTGGCAGTGAAACTGACCAGTTCTGCTTTAAGATTTCTTTGGTGCCTCCTTATCAGAGAGATGGAGCCAAAGTGGAATTCTGTATACGATATGAAACATCAATTGGTACCTTCTGGGCAAACAACGACGACAAAAACTACACACTGATTTGTCACAAGAAAGAAACTGTGCCCAAGTTGGATGATAAACCACACAAAGAAAGTGCTGATAGACATCTTAAAGGCTGCTTAAAGACGGCACCAAGCAGGTGAGGTTATGTCTTCTCTGTTGGTAACTTAAAATAGAGTTGAATAATTCTAACTTTCTAATTGTGGTTGTTGGATTTAAGAATCCCATGCTGCTTTTTAAAAGTGATAAATGAGGATAAGAATTTTTTTTAATAAAATTATCGAATATATTTAGGTAGAATTTTCTGTAGACAGTTTGGTTGAGAGCAAACATTAGAATTTTAATACCATGACAAGCATGCCACTCATTTGGAAAGCAATGTGAAGGACTACAAATTATGTGCAGTGCACTGATTTTGATCTCTGAATCACATAAATTGAGCTGACACCAGTGAGCTGGTAAGCCTAGTTTGCTCTAGAGGTAGCCGTACTGTTAAAACACTTCACATTCAGTTTCTTGGTAAGTCTATGGGAGTTTAACAGCAAAAAATGTGATTCTGGATTTTCACAAAATTTGTTTCATATTTCATTCTCAACATCTCACCAATAAAAAAAAAAATGGCAATAGTGGTCCAGGAAACTGGTAACTCAAGGAAGGGTCCTACTGCAATTAGAATAGTGAGTACAAACTTTTCTACAATTGTCTGGTCTGTTCTGTAAGTGGTACCTTAAAGTAGCAAATCTGCTTTCCTTCCATTGCTTGATGTTTTTATTTCACAAATGGTGAAATGAATAAAGATTTATAAAGCATAGTTGATAACATATTAAAAAGTATATATACATCAATTAAATGTAGTAAAGTATTCTCCTAACTGAAAAGTGGCAGTATACTTAACATATACCTTGGCCCCATGTAAAGAGATAAGCTCAGGAATAACATCTTTTAGATTCCTACTCTGTTTCTAACACCTTTTCTTTCTTCTCTTTAAGTAGAGAAATGTCGATTGTGAAAATCTAATTCTCAGGTTTTTGCTCAGTGTGTTTCCTATAAATCTGTAGATTCTGCAGAACCAGATATGTTACTTGCAGTGTCCTCTGCAATACTTAGCTCCCAGAACTGAATTTATGTTGCGTATTTAGTTCCTGTAGTCTTGCCAAGACAGTGCTGTTTGATTTCCCAGGTTCTAACTGGCTGTGCTCTTCCACTGAACTGAACTAGTGGGGAAGGGGAAATAAAAACACAGCAGTGGTTGGACTTTGAGGAGTGAGGAGGTCTCCAGGGCTATCCCCAGCTGAGCCTCCCTGCCCTTTCTACTTCTGAAGGCCAAGCTTGCTGTGCTGAGAGCCTCTGGCAGCTCTGATTGTTTGTGAGTCCTGTGAGGGGATGCCTGCAATGCAACTTAGTGTCTGCATCACCCTCCCAATGCAGGACCAGTTCCCTGGGATATCCCAAGGCCCAGTTCATAGCCAGACCACAAACCTCTCCCAGGAGATGTCCCCCAAGCCCGCTCTGGGGCCATCCCACTCATGTTTCCCTCGGGAATATCCTTGTACGTGAGAGAAGAGGGAGTGACACATTTACCTACCCCGCAGCCAGATCCTGACATTTGTGCCTGGTTCTGTACGTCGCATCTGTCCTTCACGAAGTGTCACATGATGCACTCAGGGTAAATAAGATAGCCTGAGGTATTCTGTAGAAGGGCCTTGATATCAGATAACGCAGGCATATGCAGGCAGTGTGATTTCAGCCTGTGTTCAGGTAGCTCACATGGAGGAGATGGACACAAATGGCTGAGCCTTCATTTAAGGGGTCCTGGGCTTCCAGCTATGTTTGGATATGACCTGCACATTTGGATACAACTGGGCAGTTGAGGTCAAGTGGTGAAAATTGTTTTATTCCCTTAAAATTCTGAAGTGACATGCTCTTCTGCATGTATATAATGAATGCATCATAAGTAATTTAGGCACAGAGATATGTAAAAAATAGGAATGGAGATAACATGCTATTTCTTAGTACAAAATTAATTACCTTGTTCCCTACCAGAGATGTGAAGTTGTATCCCTCCGCATGAGAATGCAAGGGAATGTATATAAATGTATGTATGTGTGTGCTGTGTGCACATATATGTACATATACATTTATGCACATGCATATTTGTTCATATATAGTCATGCACACACATGACAATTTGCAATACAAAAATCAAAGTGGTCATATTCTTGTTTACATTAAATTCTATTACACATTTTTGGCAAGTGCTTACTAACACACACTTTCAAGACCTTTTAGTGGTAGAGGGATGCAAATATACCTCACAATAAATTCAAAAATGAGCTCAAAGTATTTCTGAAATAGGGTTTCAGTGGTCGTGATGGCTTCTGAAAGACAGTTCTGGCAGACTGCAATCCAGGACCAATTTTATGCTACAGGGACTTCATTGACTTCACAGGAGTTACAGCTTTCACCAGTGTAAATGAGGTCAGCATCAGGGACTTTCGTTTCAAAAGAACTAAGATGCCAACCTCCATTGCTCACTTGTTTTTCAAAGTGTCTTTGTACATGTTGCCCCTTTGAGTGAGGAGGAACACCCTGCAGACATCTGCAAAAATACCTCATTATTCTCCTTCAGACCCTCATTAAAACTTCTTTGCTTTGATGTCTATAAAAAAGCTCAAGAAAAACAAACTCCCCAAAATTGGCAAAGTGAAGCTGCTGATGTGCTGTGACTACTTCATATCATGTTGAACAGTGGTGTCTGTTTCCCTGCTTTCCTCCACCAGCCTGTCTCTCTCACCTCTTGTTCTATGCTCAAATTATAAACTCTGCAGAGTGTATATATGCTCTAATGCATGTATATAGAACATTTAGTAAAGTGGGGTGCTGGACCGTTACTGGTGGTTGTAGGAGCTGCAGCAATGCAAGCTGATATATAGAGAAGTAATAATTTCATTTATGGATCACACAATGAAAACACAGGTAAGGAATACTGTTGTCCATGTCCACAAAGTAGGCACCTAATTTGATGATTTCTTTATAACAACCTAGATATAAGGATATTTAAAAACAGCATTTATTTAGGACCCTTGCTCAATTTTAGAAACCTGTTACCATTTTTTTTTTTATACTTAGCTCTGTGATATTTATCCCTTCTCTTAAAATGAGTGATTTACCTCCTCAGTTACAAAACTAGGACTGTTCAAGAATTATAGTTGTTTTTTCTTTTTTTTAAATACAGATAGTCCGATCCACTCTAGGGCATAGCTGTGTGGCTTGTCATTAGTAGGGATTATTTGTGTTAGTTAAATGAAAGGAATAACATGCATGTTTAGAGGAAGTTACTGAGGAAACACAGTGAAACTGTGCCAGGTTGCCCTTAAGAACACGAGCCAGGACAAAGCTGTGTGAATAAGGGCAGTGAGATGGCTTCTGACATAATTATTTAAAAATGAAATAAAACTGCACTCAACTCTCAAAAGTCGCACCTGAAAAAATTGATAGCGAAAGGCAAAACTAATTCTGCATGCATTAATTAATGTTGAAAGGTACTTAGATTCAGATGATCAAAACCACATGCCTATTCATTCCATGTTTCATTTGCTTTGGCTTCTATGTCTAGACATGAAAAAATAGTCTCTCAAACTTTCGTAAAATATTTGCCTCTCATTGTATTTTTCCAAGCTAAAATTCTCTTCAACATAAATTTTAACAGCTTTTGTCATTTTCCAAAAATCCTGAAAAGATTAACAGGCACAAAATGTAGTTTGGAAAAAATAATATTTGAATAAGTTACATTATCTTTTAGTCTATCTAAAAGTATGCATTTAAATTATGAATACTCACTGATATATTCTTGGGGGAAAAAATTGACTCCCAAAGATTTGAAAGCTGCTACTGGAAAAAAAGAGAGCTTCTGTCAGAATACAATTCTAATTTCTATCATATAAACCACATCTGAACATTTAGAAAAATGTAACTGAATTTTATCAACTCTATTGTTCCCTCCTTTTGTTTGATTCTCTTGTTTCTGGGACATGGGTAATGATTTTGAACACAAATTTCTCCTAGTCCTCAGGTTCAGATTACAAGATTATGTTATGAAACACAGCCTCCTCCATTGATATGATCAGACCAGGACTGGCTATGTGTTGCATGAAGCAAACCCCTGTAAATCATGGTGCACGTGCATGGCACAGTGATAACGACCTGCAAACTGTTTTCCTGTCACTGGTGACGCTGAGCCCTATTTCGGTGCCTGCTTCTGATTTGCCATCTGTCAAAGAGTAGCAGAAACGATAGCACCAGAAAAATGGCTGATAAGTATGAGGAACGTTTCACAAAAGGCTAAAATGGATAGTTGGATTCCTGTTCTCTGAGAAGCAAGGGAAAGCTAGTATGTTTTTCATAACTGTTAGAGTTGCCCCCTTTTAGTTCTTTGATGGTGTATCACTTTAATGTCCTGTGCTGTTTAATATTTGCTGGTCTGTATCTTTCCCTGAAAGGTATTATATCAATTTGCTTTCCTCTCTGATGACTCTTTAAAACAGAACATAAAACTGGGTGATGTTTTGTACAAAAGCTGCTCTGTGTACAAGGCATGATAGGAAGGAAGAGATTAAAAACCCCTGGCCTGTAGTCCATCAAAGCTGATTTCAGGAGTATAAATACTGAATGCAATTGTCAGTGAGAGAATTTTTTCTGCGTACGTGTAATCTCCTGCCTTCAGCTCCAGTCTCATCTGCTTTCTGATGGAAACATAGAATCACAGAATCACAGAATCGTTGGGGTTGGAAGGGACCTCCAGAGATCATCGAGTCCAATCCCCTCGCCAAAGCAGGTTCCCTACAGCAGGTCGCACAGGTAGGCATCCAGGCAGGTCTTGAACATCTCCAGAGAAGGAGACTCCACCACCTTCCTGGGCAGCCTGTTCCAGTGCTCCGTCACCTCACTGTAAAGAAGTTCTTGCGCACATTCATGCAGAACTTCCTATGCTGCGGTTTCCGGCCGTTTCCCCTTGTCCTGTCTCCACTCACCACTGAAAAGAGTCCAGCCTCTCCATTCTGCCCCCCACACCTTAGATATTTATAGACCTGGATCAGGTCCCCTCTCAGTCTTCTTTTCTCAAGGCTGAACAGACCCAGT